CCCCCAGCCCAAGGCCCGCCAGGACCAGAGGGGACCCTCTTCTGGGTGAGTTTAACTCACCTTGTTGGTTTAACCTCCTAAAACTTGGCGGCACATATGTAGACAAAAATGCATGCAATGCAAGAGTTTGGGTCTGGGTTAAAGGAGGGTCTGACATGGATGTAGCCCTCCTGTGGCAACAATGATTCAAAATAAACTCTTTGATTTCCTTCTCTCAAAAGCTTTGTTTTTCATGCTTTCAGGCCAGAAGAACAAGACTGATAGAAACCTCAGCAGTAATGCAGACAGACAAGTATTTCATTCTATTTAATGTGTGACACAAAACTGAAGCCATGCCAGCTTCATTCTGGTGTTCCCTGGATTAACAAGAACTGCATCCGATGTTGGGGAACCTGGACAAGACTATAGGAACAAGAACTACATGGACCGGAGCACAGAACTGATGGAAACTGTTGGTATGTTGAGCGAGTCCAGAGAGAGGTGATAAGATGTGGGAACTTTGATACTCATCATCCAGTTTGACTCAGGAGCAACTTCAGACCCAACATTCAAAACTAAAGATCTGCTCTCACGCCCAGAAACTGACGAGGTCCAATAAAAATGCTTCAGCAGGGGGAATCAGATCGCCCCACCATCAGAGGCTACCAGCAGTTTATTTTTTACTAATTCTAACAACCCTCAGAGTGTGTGTTAGGTATGACTCTCAGCTGTCGTCACTGCCACAGACATCTGAGCCGATATACCTCAGCCAGTTTTACAAAGATTGTTCTGAATCTGACCGTTCTGCTCTCTGAGACAAACTCTCAACACAGATTTTTAACAGATTTGAAGTCAACTCTGTTATTAAAATATCTCACTTTCACTGGAGGTCTTTTACTGAAACTTTCAGGAAATAATTACTAAATGTTCATCTACAGCTGTTAAACTTTGGACACGAGTCAAGACACCAGAGCCGGCTCAACTCAGAAACCACAGAAGAAGTCAGTCTCTCAGATATTGAGCTAACACTCTGTCATGTTGGAAAATCTTTGGATTCTACCATTAGTTTGACAGATAATGAGTAAAATTTCATGTGGTTGACTCATTATCAAACGTTCTCAGTGTAAATCTCTGTGATAGGTCTTTAGCTTCACAAACTTTTCACAAAAAATGAGAAAAGTCCATTTTTTTCTGTAAAATATTAAAGAACGAAACTTTAGTATTAAACTATAAAAGTAGATTATTTTCATTCGGTCCTAAACATTAAAACAGAAAACAAAGTTTCAAAAAAAATTCTTGTTCTCTTTACTTTAAAGCTGAAGTAAATTTAGTGTCTCCATAAAAACTTTATTGATAAGACAAAAAATATATATAATAGTTGACAGTGTTTGATGCACTGCGGCACATAAAACACAGAGCCATAATCTGACCACAGATAATTGTTACGTGGAAAGAAAAGGTGACATGGTCTGAAGGTTGCAGACATACAATAACTCTATATCTAATCTGTTTTTTACTAATAAAATACTGAATGTTCTTATGTTGGCTCAGATAAGTACATGGTTGTAAAGTTAAGTCTAGTATTAATTGAAGTGGCGGCACTCTTCGAAGGAACGTTCAACTTTCATGTCTGAGTTTTAGACTCGGATTGTTTATTTTAAGAAATGATGGATTTTACAGATCTGGTGAAGTCTTATAAATAACATTATTTTTATCTCATCCTCAGATTTCGTTTTATTAAAGAGTCTGATGTACTAATAAACCAAATTAAACTTGATCAAATTATATAAATTGAAGTATTTTTGTGTTTTAGGTGAGTCGGTTGTGTCGTCTTAAATTGTGCTTCTGTTATGAATTTCAGGTAGAAAAGAACCCTTGGTGCCGGCAGATTAAAGGCTCCAAAAATCAAAGTATTTATTAATAAAAAGGTGCTGACGGGGCAGCTCAAAAAACTCTGAGCGGCATGGCAAAACAAGGCACAATACATAACGATACCAAACAATGACCCGACAGGGAAGTGAAGACAAGACACAGAATATAAAGGTGAGACTAATGAGCACAAACAGGAAACACCTGGGGGAAAACACGAGGATCAGGTGTGAGTGGGCGGGGCTGGAGCAAAGGCAGACAGGAGGAAGAAAACAGAGGAACATGACAGAAAAATCAGAATAAAGTCTAAATAAAAACATGAACCCAGACGAAACCTAACAGTTTCCTCTGAAAGTAAGAGATGCAGATGTAAAGTCAATAATGATTTCCTAAAAATTCAATAAAACTATGACTTTTCGAGCAGTTCACGAGTTATTTTCTAATCAAACAGACAAACTAACACACAGACATATGCACAAACAAACATATTTATCTTATTTCATTATTGGAAAGCAGGACATAAAAAATAGTTGAGTTCAAGCAAGGTGTCCAGCTAAAAGACAAGAAGACATTTTTCTCTGCGGGAAAAAATATTTTTCTGATTTCAGCTCCTGATTTCAGCTCCTGACTTCAGCCTCTGATTTCAGCCTCTGATTTCAGCTTCTGATTTCAGCTTCTGATTTCAGCTTCTGATTTCAGCTTCTGATTTCAGTTCCTAACTTCCTCTCCTGACTTCAGCTTCTGATTTCAGCTCCTGACTTCAGTTCCTGACTTCAGCTTCTGATTTCAGCTTCTGATTTCAGCTTCTGACTTCAGCTCCTGACTTCAGCTTCTGATTTCAGCTTCTGATTTCAGCTTCTGACTTCAGCTCCTGATTTCAGCTTCTGATTTCAGCTTCTGATTTCAGCTTCTGACTTCAGCTCCTGATTTCAGCTTCTGATTTCAGCTTCTGATTTCAGCTCCTGACTTCAGCTCCTGACTTCAGCTTCTGATTTCAGCTTCTGATTTCAGCTTCTGACTTCAGCTCCTGATTTCAGCTTCTGATTTCAGCTTCTGATTTCAGCTCCTGACTTCAGCTCCTGACTTCAGCTTCTGATTTCAGCTTCTGATTTCAGCTTCTGACTTCAGCTTCTGATTTCAGCTTCTGACTTCAGCTCCTGATTTCAGCTTCTGACTTCAGCTTCTGACTTCAGCTTCTGATTTCAGCTTCTGATTTCAG